TATCTGTATCTAGTCTGTAGCTCATCCTCTAGAAGTACAACTTTTGGAGCTCGTACTTTCAGCATCAGAAGCAAATACAAAATGAAATGATACTGCGGTAGGCATAATTTTAAAACGGTCTCCTCAAGATCCCTGCAACCAAATTATTCAAGCAAATATATTTATACATATTCATATGGAAATTTTGGAAGAAGGGAAGAAAAACTCAGTAATGTTTATCTTTGGGGAATAGGAAGGTAAGAAAATTAGCATGTAATGACTTTATAAGGACAGCTAGTTGGGGGGTGAAGAGATTGAGCAAAAAGGAAGGACTCATGGACATGGACAACAGTGTGATGATTGCTGGCGGGAGGGGGGAACAGGGGACTGAATGGTAATGGAGAAAAGAATACAATAAATATTTAAATAAAAAAATTAAAAAATAGGGCTCTAAAAATAAAAGCAATAAAGAAAACAAAATAATACTTGCACTAGTTTTCTATTGCTATGTAATAAATTACCAAACATTTAGTGGCTTAAAAATGATAATCTATTTACTAATCTTACAATTCAATGGGGCAGAAGTCCGAGTACAGAGAGGCTTGTTAGAGCACAGCAGGGTCTCCCAAGGGATCGTAAAGCCAAAATCAAAGAAAGGCAGAAAATCATGAGCTGCTAGTCCCCAGGAACCCTCACCTACTTTTCCTTCTCTGGGTCATCATGTGGCTAAAATCAAAGCCTCCGTTGGGCTGGCCTCTTATCTGGAGACTGGGAAAGAATCTGCCTCCAAGCTCAAATGGGTTGTGGACAGACTGAGATCACTAGGCGGTCACAGGACTGAGGTCTCCCTTTCATCCTGGCGGTCAGCCCGAGGCTGTCTGCAGCGTCTGGAGGCTGCCCTCCTCCATCCTCAAGCCCACAGTTGCCACATCCCATCATTCTCAGGCTCACATCTCTAACTTCTCCTGCCATCAACCAGAAACACATCTTTCTGTTACAGGGCTCCTATGACTGGGTCAGGCTCACTCAAACAACCTCTGTGGGAAAGGTTAGCTCGCTTGGGACTTGAATTACCTCCGCAAAATCCCTCCACAGTAGTACCGAGAGACAGGCAAAAGTAGGTTCACAGTTGTGAGCACACAAAAGTTTCTTCTTGTATCGTTATTTATTAATTATCGTATTATTTATTTGTATTATAACTGTAACCCTACTGTTGCCCACCCTGGGCATTATATGAGAGGAACTGCTTCAGCACAACCTTAGTCTTTTTGGATTCTACCAGTTTTTTTTAAATGTTTGACAATATGCTGCATGAACCACACCATCTCTTTATACTGGTTCACATTCCTCTTGTAATTGCAATGAATCAACATTTCATGCTTTTGTTGCCAATTTTAATTTTTTTCTGTGATGGGCCATTCACATTTTTTGCCCATTTTCTCTTGGTCCATTCACCAGTTTTCAAATTAATTTATACAAGGTCGTTAATATAAAGGCAATCAGATGTTTGTCAGTTATAAGCATAAAAACATTTCACACTTTTTGTTTTGATTTTCTTTATGACATGGAAAATTTCATTTTAGGAGAGACACACTAGTGTTTTCCTTTGTGGCTTCTGTATTAAATTCCATGCTTAGAATCTTCGCGGAAATAGAAGTCCGGGATATTCTAGCTTCGTTTTTCTTAATGGGACTGCCCTGCCCACTGTTCTTAGAGGAATCCCTGCCTTTCCACAAACGCTCCTTTGTTTGTGGAGATGATAAGCTCCGAACGCTGTGCCAGTACTCCTTTTCCTCAGAGCACGACTGATACACCTACACAAATAAATTACAGTCTCGTCTCTGCTGATTCACTTGACGTGTATAAATTCGTGTGTCAGTGCTGAGCGGTGTGACTCATGTCACCATCCCTCCGTGAGAAAATGGAAAGCTTCCTTTTATCTCCTGGGTCAGTGAGCACTGAGATGGCAGTGTTTCTGTGCCTTGGGTTTTGTGGAGACGTCTAGGAACCCGCACCTGGCGTTCTGTGATCACACATGTGACAGAGAAGGTGGCAACAGGAATGAAGAGGGAAGGGGCACCGTGAGCGAGGTGGCACTTCACATTATGAAGACATGCGGACTGGCCTTTACTTCGTTTACATTTTCTTCTTTTTACACAGAAGTAGGGGTCTACCAGACTGCGACAGATGCCATTGCTCACAAAGCCCGACAGACTTCTCCAGCTTCTCGGTGAGCAACAACCTGTTGGGTCTGTGGCATAAGGAAAAATCCTCTCCGAACAGAAAGAATGGTTCCTCTCGGCCCACTCCTCTGATTAAATACCAAAATTAGGTTTGGAGAAAGAAGAGTTCAGGCTAAGTCTACATAGAAAAAAAAATAATGAAAAGGATCATTAAAGCCTTAACTACATTTTCTCTGACCTCAATATAAGAACTGAAGAAAATCACAGTAATAGAAGACTAAACAAAAGGTACATAAAATGTGGTGCGATTACTTCAGAACACTATAAAGAGGAGTACGATTAATTTTTGTAATCACTATTGAGTTACGTGTAACAAATGGAATTGGTCATTCACTCAGCACCTGGTGTCCACTGTCAGGCACTGTGCCGGGGAAGGTGAAGACAAAAAAAAACAATTCCAGCCCCAGGAAGGTACGAGGCCTTGCTTGACCCCTGCCAGCTCTGACTGATGATGTAACACAGATCTTCAAAGTGTACATGGTAACCACATAAACAGTTGTGCACGTCACGCAGCTTCGGAACTACAGCATTACCAACTGCTTATTCCTCTCCCCAAGCAGACCCCCCTCCCAACTCTCAGGAGCAACTTCTGTCATGAGATTGGTGTTTTAAATGACCATGTTTTCTTTTATACCCTTGCTACAAACATATATACACATATACACACATATTCATGTGTATATATATGTGTATGAATCCCTAAACAAAATATTCTTTGTAGATCATGTTAGCCTTATGGGAATGGTTTAAATAACATTCTTTTGTAACTTGCTCTTGCCGTCCAATGCTACATTTGAGTTTCACCCATGGAAATATGTGAGGGGCTACCTCATTTTCTTCTACACGCACGGTGTTCCGGGGACGACTGTGCCACAGTTCATTTATCAGTTTTTCAACGGACAGATATTTAGGTTGCTCCACATGTTTAGCTATGACATGGGAGGCTGCCATAAGCAGTCTAGGACATGTCTTCTCTTGTGTTTGTGCACAGGTTTCTCTCAAGTTCTGCCTGGAAGCAGCATTTCTGGACTCCAGTGGTCTTGCTACGGCATCATAATCCTATGGATGCATCTTTCACATTTTTTACTTTACCATCTGCTATTCATTACTATGCATAAAAGAAAATTTTATTCCAATGGACAACTACCTCTGTCTCTCCCTTCTCCCCACTCTCAAGTTGAGAGCCCCCATCCCCACAAGCAAAAGGACTTGGAAGGAAGAATCATAGCCCTAATTCTAAATATATAAAATCAACTGCATCTGAAAGCCCATCAGTGTTACGTTAGAGTTATCACAATAGTGTAAGGGAAGAGATTAAATCTTCATCCTTTTAACCCATCATCCTTCACAATCCTGAAGACATCTTCCCAAGCACAGATCTTCCTCAAAATCCTTGAAGGGCACTCAAAGTCAAAACTCCTTCCACTCTCTGGCTTTCATTTCTTTTTCCACCTTTATGTTCTCTTACAATCAAGCACGCACCTCCCGCTCTCTAGCCACTGACTGGGAAGACCCAGTCTCTCACCGTTTCTACCTGTCGGCTTTTGTTCACCTTTCAACATCTTGATCAAGTATCTCCTCAAACTCTCTCTCTCAGACCTTCCTGATTCGAATTAACCCTTTTCTTGTTCACACCATCTTGGACAGAACTTTTAAAAATACACATACATGCACGTAACGTAGAAAGCAGTCTTCATTGCAATTTTTTTTTAACAGAGTTCTACCTTCCTTATAATTAGTGTTGGGGCCCAAGGGCCTCATCTTTTGAATCTTTATTGGCCTCACATTGGTTAGAAATGAAACGGATCATTACTGCATCATTGACAGGTAAAACTTTACATAAATTTGTACATACATACGAAAGAAGACTCAGTCTAGTCTACTCATACTGTTGTTTGTAATCACTAATATATATGAAACAAGCTCAACTTCAGGGAGAAAATGCTGACTATTTCTGACAGAGTACAGGGCATGCAATGCCCAACTACAATAGATCATCCCGGCATACTGAGTATTTTGAGCTGAAGGAACGAGAAGCAGTGTGTGCAGGAAGCGCATTCTGGCCTGTCCTAAATCAGGGCCGAAAGCCTGAATGTGGCAGCTGTTCACTCTCCCTGTGCCTGCAGTGGAGAAACATCCTCATCTCTAACGATAAGGGACACAGAAGAATCTGAGCAACGGGCCTTGCTAAGTTTCCCCCAGTTTACCACAATTATTAGCTCACCTTTGCCTCATCGTATTTTTTTAGTCTTTTTCAAAAAATAGTTAGGTGTAACCATTTCTTTGAGTCTTCACTTCCTTATGCATGTTCCACACATCACACAAAACTTACATTGAATAAGTTTGGATGCTTCCCTCTTGCTAATCTGTTTCTGCTTACAGGATTCCCAGTGCGGAACTTGGAATAATGGAGGAAAGAGATCATTTTTCTTCCCCTGTAGTACTTAACACTAATCCTCTTCCTGTGAACCAGCATGGATGTGCTTCCCCCAAATAACCCTCACACACACACGGCTTGTGGCATTCACAAAGTTAGAAATATAGAGAGAAATAATTTTAAAAGGACCCCACGTAAAAAGAAAGTCTCGATTTTAGAGTCCAAATACTCTAAAGAAAGTAAGGTTTGGGCCAACATCAGAGAGAATAAATTAGTGATAAACCAACAGGAAAACCAAGCTAACAAGGCATGAAGACATCTGAATCTCGAAGTGCCTGGACTGTTCTGAAAAACCAGCAAAAAAGAAGTGAAACAAAACTCAAGGAAAGAGAACCAATTACCTGCATGGGCCGAGAGAGGGGAATGTGGACGAGGAAGTGCTGAGGACTGTCCATTGCCTATCAAGCTTTTCCGGTTGCTCGTTCGGCAGCTGTCGAAAGGAAAGGAAAAACATTTAAAAAAGAGAACATAGCGTAAATACTAACATTAATTCAATCATATTCAAATTGGCATAGACTAGCAGTTAAACAACCTCATACTATTACCAAACTTTTTGCAAGCTGATATGCACTCAGTAATATTTGAGGGGCGGTTGCCTCTTGAATACTAGAAAATATAAAGTATTCACACTGTATAGCATCATCAGTATTCCTCACCACCAGTGAAGCGACAACCAAATGCCTTCTTTCAGGTCTTGACTGCAAATATGTGACACGCCATACATACAAGTGATAAATTAAGGATTCAAGTCAGCAAACCACAGGTAGCATCTTTGTCGACATGAAATTTCTAATACAAAATGACATGCAATGAAGCGCAATGACATTAATCTTACAATGATGCACTAATTAAAAATCTAATTATTTCGACAAATTTCATATTTGTGCCTTTTGTCAATTGAACAGCCGATGCCTCAGATAAATGTCCCTCACCACTCATTCATTTTTCATCGTATGCACTGCATCCAAATTCCGTAGCATGGTAAATAGTTTAGAGACACAAAAACAGATTCTACTTTGTATGAACATAACAGTGAAGGCCTTTTTTTCACAGGCACACTACCTGCTGTTTTCATAGAAATAAGTTGCTATATATGGGCACAGGGCAACTATTTTTTTTCTTATATCTGCTGGTAGAAAGTCATAAAATGGCTAATTTTATTCCAAAGTAACTTTCACTAGCCTCAAAGAATAATGCAAATGCAAAACTGGTTGATGGTGAGGTAGATATGACTTCCACTCGCTGTTCTTCAGTAAAGGCTGGTGCTTCATTCTCTACTATCAGCACAGACATTAGAAAAGCACAATAAACACCAGCAGGTTACCACACTGACCTGACCTACAGTAAGGTTCAGGGCACCCTAATTCCATTCTCCCACACTGGGGCACCTTCAACCACCACTAAAGATTTACCGTAGTGCCTTCTTAATTCAGAACATACCTATGTTAGAGTAGGTTCTTGACAGAGAATTTTTACCTGACTTCTAAATTAGATACAGTGGATACATTTGAAAGTGTGTATAAAATACTTGAAAGGAGCATTTCTAAATATACATATGATACATTTAACCAAACCCAATTTCTTTCAGCAATATTGACTTGCACACCAATCTCCTCTCTTAGATGTTTGCTGCGTATCACCGTTTGTCAACATCTCCATATTTATAATTTCTTAAGGTCAGGCTGCATCATTCTATTTTCCTTACCGAAGTAATCAACATTCCCTAGCATTATCTGTGAGTATAATTAAGATCATGTTTACTCAGCCTTAAAGAAGCTGTAGAATAAGAATAGACCCTTGATACTTAATTATGAAGGTGGATTGAGATATTATCAACTCATCTATCAAAAACTGTATTAAATTCATAATTATTAAATCAGATGGTGTGACTGTTTTAAGAAGAAACTGTATAATATATTTAGTGTTAATTCAAATTAATGTCTCCTTTCATTTCAGTACAGATATTTTAAGTACATCAACCTGCTGGTGTTAATAAAATAAATTTAAAAAGGACAGATTTATACCCTGGAAATCTCAGCAAAGTTATTTATTAGTTAAGCGAATTAACTGAAACAAGAGTTAATTCAAAAAAACAGCTATTTGCATTATTTTTTATATTTAACATTTGTTCATTTATGAAAATCTTCTCTTGATAATCAATCATCACATATATGTAAGTCAAATCAAAATGTAAATAAAGAGAAACAGTAATCTGATGAGTAGCTTAAATAGGGATATTACTAAAATATGCTAACTTACTTAAACCTAAAATTTAGAAAATATTTCATATAAAGAAAACTTTAAAAATTAAATTTTCAATAAGAGATACAGAATGACTAGCAGACTACCACAACAGCAAAATAAATAGACAATAATTTAGGTTTATAATAAAGAAAACACAAACAAAAAATCTAACATTTTTATCAGTTATTTAAAAGTCTATCATAGAAGGGTAAAAAATACTAATTTTTAAAATGAGATTCAAAAATAAATGTCTAGACAAAACCTGGAAATGGTTTATTTGTTTGGCCAATAAAAAAATATAAACTATGAAAAAAGTTTATATTATAGTCATCCATTTTTTCTTCCCTCTATAAAGATGTATAATCTTTACAGATGACTATAAATGCATTTCAGAGTAATAAATAGAATTTTCATGTATAAATACATGAACAAGTTTAAAGAAGTTAAAAACAAACCTTCAGAATTTGAACCACTCACCATATTGAAGGTACTGTTGGATGTCACACTAAACATTAGGTAACTGGCATACCTTACTGACAAATGCTATCCCAATCAAAGCTGAAAGTGTCTTATCTAACCTCAATATGGATCTTCAGCATGAAGCTAGAGACAATATTAAAATGGCAACATACTTGGAACTTTCTTGAATCTCTCAACAATCTCTCAACAACAGGAAGATGCACGTGATGAAATGCTCCTTAGTAAGACAAGACTATAAAATCCAGGTCAGACAGATTTGCATGTGTGCACAAAATACATCTCCACACTCATAAAGCAGGGTCTTGGCCTCACAAATGAGTGTGTATGTTGCTAACATCCTTAAGGATAAAGGAGTATTTTATACTATATTTAACCTCCAAATGAATAGAACTTGATATATAAATACTTTTAAATCCTGGGACCATACTAAGATATTCTATAGATAACTATCCCAGGTTGGGGGGAAAGGGGAAGTTATTTAATTTTAACACCCTGTGTCTGATATCTCTGAGAGTCACCTAATCTTTTCGCTCTAGGTGCCTGAATCCCAACAAATGAATAGAAATCTGCGTTTAATCCCACAGTAAGAAAACTCCAGGTAGACAGGAGCTATGGGTATTTACCACCTTGACTGCCTCAGCCACCTGGCCTGCCCATATTAATAATGATGCCAGTGCAAAATGCTGAGCTGACTTCTGCTGTCATGCTTTATTCATCCAGGTATCACACTCTTTTCTGCTGATGAAAGGAGAAGCTTATGGCATCCCAGAGTGAGGCGCCTTCTCAGGTGCTCCTGACTACACCACCCACATCTCTTCTGTAAAATGATAAAGCAGAAACACGGCCACTTGCAGCAAAATCGAGGTCCCATCCCTTTCACCAGCATGACTACGTCCACTCAGGCTTGCTTTTTCTCAGGCCATGTCAACCCACCCCCCCGAAAAGATGCCCTACCAGGTAAAACAGGGACACCACTTCTACTATGGCAGAAGTCTCTTAACTTTTTAAAAATCTATCCTCACCTAAGCATTTGAGCTTGCAAAGATTTACCTCTAGTTTCAGCCTTAGGAACAAAAGTATGTAATTCCCAAATGAAATAGAAGGACAGTCACGAACTCGAGTTTCAGCTCAAGTTCATTCCCAAAAGCATTCTTTCGGCTTTACTCTTGAAGAAGAAACGAAAGCCATTCACCCTGCCTGTGATCTGATCTGAAAGCCGAACACAGGGGTGTCCACTTCCCACAAAGCACCTCCTCCTCCTCAGTTCTCCACTTGAAATGACCCATGGAGACACCTACTCTGCCTGTGGACTCCAGGCTCAGTTTGTTCTCTCAATTGGGAAGGTGGCACAATGATGGCACAGGTACATTTGTTACTTGCAAAATGTAATTTAGCCAGAGAAGACAGCCATGTGCAACTCGAGACAAAGGCAAAGTGGTCTTTGTACCAACTCAGGCTAATGGGGCCAGTAAGCATTTCTTTTCACCCCATTCTATTTGTTCCTCTCTGGAAAGAACCCCCTGCAGGCAAGACACACACCATGCAATAACCACTGTGGACCAGGGATCTGAGAATAATGAGGAGGTGGAAAGACAATGACCGCGAGCAGGCTCGGCTGGCCCCTGGGCTGGGAGGCGAGGCAGGCCCAGACAGACACTCTAAATAAGAACGTCACAGCTGGATGGGCATGGGCACTCACGTGGCAGTGCTGTAGGGTGGTATGAGGCCACCAGAAGGAAGTCTTTCATTTGTCTGCATGGTGTTTGGGCTCACACAGGTGAAGTGAGGACTGAACAGGGCACCAGTCCTGTTCCTTGAGTTTACTGTTCCCATTCGACACAGCAGTTTCACAATCTCCTAACTACTGTCAACAGTGCCTTCCATCTATTGGGATCACCATTAGACCATGCGTGACGGATCACGCATGTCATCATCTATGCCTGGTCTGACTCAGTGTGAAGGACAAAGAAGAATACAGGTTGCTAAACTGAGGAAGGGAGGGGAATGTATTTTTTGGCCCAAAGCAGCCATGCTCTATCTCTTCCTAGGCTGTCCTGCTCAGGGTTCCATGGGAAGGGCTTGCTGGGACCTGTAAACGTTCCACATCTGGCTCTTGTCACATCTCTCCTGGCAGAGAAACCTAATTATCCCCAACTAAGGCTGTAAAAGCCGCAAGGCCCACCAGGCTGTGGCCTTTAGCAACTGTTCTGACTAGCTGAAATTCAGCTTAATTTTAAATTACATTCATTCTGAGACATGAATACCAATCATGTCTGATCATGGCAAGACAAGTCGAGGAGGAAAAACCCCGAAAGGCAGTAATTTCTAACATCCATGGCTGACTTGAAAGGTCAACACTCATTATGGAATCTGACTGCCCACCATGGAGGGGCAGCGAGCACACCGTGAACTGCATAAGAAGAGCCCCAGTAATTCTCAAAAGCTAGGCTATAATTTATTAATTCATCTTGATGAAAAATTTGATAAATTTGCACAGGAGACCAATTATAGACCAAAGCTTTCCTGGATATGAACATCTGCTAACTATTTCCTAATACCTTAATAGAATCTGAACACTTGGCTATTCCTTAAACAAAGAAGAAAGCTGAAGTGGAAGAAAACTGGGCCAGAAGACCAGGAGCCACTGAACACGTCAGAAGCCAGGCAGACTTCCGATTCCTTATCTTTACAATAAAAGGGTTGGAC